GTGCATATGTGCAAGATAGCTACTGACATTTTAACCACATCAATTTGACCTAATAGCAACATGATGTGGCATATCTGCAACCATACAAAGGCCCATCTTAGCTACACCTTCCATCAAAGTTGCCAGCATTATAGCAGTGGAAATTGGTCTGACTAATTGCAGCAGCAGCCTTAAGCTCAGCTGCAGCAGTTAGAGCTCCTGCGGAGCGGGGCAGGTTCAGCAAGCTTCCACTCCATCCCAAAGTGAGAACTCAGTTCTGAGGACAGAAACAATGAAAGCACTGTTTCTAGCAGTGACAAGTTCGTTAGTCTGCCCCTACAACAGTCCACTCACTTGGCTGTTTCATGTTTGTGGGTTAACAGCTGCCCGTGCCCTAAGGAACAGTCACTGTCATTACCTACAGCCCTCCACTCAGGGCAGAGACAAGCAAGGATGTTAACTAGGGTTTCTCACCAAGCCCCTCCCAGATGCTAGCTCTGGCACAACTGCACAGGTTTGTGGAAGGGCATTATGAACCCTGCAGCAGGTGACTGTCCCACTTGACAAATCTAGCTACAACTGCCTGCAAGTTTACTGTGCCTCCAACTTCAGTGTCTTGCCTGCTCAAGAAGTGATAACCATCAGTGGAGAGAGGGTCAGCAAACAGTCCCACACCTAGCCACACAGAACCAACACCTACCCAGTGCTGCTGGGCAGGGTCTGAGACACAGGAGACTAAATGTATTATCCAGGGACAACAGCTGCACTTAAACTTACCTCTACAAACCTGATTAAGAGCACATAGCCCTTCAAACCACTCAGTTCTTATGAGCAGAGTAGCTTCAGTCAGCTTTGCCAGTTCCTATTAATGGGAACAAGCAACTTCCTCCTCTTACTCCCTATTGCTCAGATTGTCTGCCTCCATTCCTTCTTCAGTTTTACTGCCACAACACTTCAAGAAGCTCAGATCCCTCCCACCCACGTTGTTGCCTGCCCCCCACCACCATCCAAAGTATGCCTTTGGTGCTGAGGCCTAGTTTGACTCTGGGATAACTAGCAGCCTTCAGGTTACAGCAGGGAAGGACCCCTTTACCAGTCAGTCATTCCTCCCAATCCTGCTCTTAACTCTTATGCTAGAGTCAGGTTCCATGACTGACAGGGAGCAGTAGGTATGCTCGTTTGGTCATGTTGTCACAGTTCCATCCAGCTCAAGCTTACTCCCTGCTCTTACTTCCTCATTTTTGCAGGGGATCAATTTCTCATTTCTACAAGAAGGTACTGAGTCCAACACTGTCAAATTTTCAACAGCATAGGATCCTTTGCTTCTGTGAGTACCAAGGTCACAGTGGCCCTGCAAGAATTCCCCACCAGAAGCAGCACAGAAGCATTACGGGCAACAGATGCCTCTGCCACAGAAGTACTGCTGAGCTGAGGAGATTTATACCCTCCTATTGAATGTTGCTGATAAGTGCCTGAGAACCCACAGCAAGGGATACCCTACCTTGATTGCTACCATAGCCATGTCAGGCCCCAGGTGCTCCCAGATCCCCATTCAGTCACAGTTCATCCATTCAGTTCCCACCATGTTTGGGGTCTCTGTGCTCAAAGACCCCCTGATATGGTCACTTGGCTCACAAGAGGAAAAGACTGAAAATAACCCTGAGAATAAAGATATGCTTCCCCCCTTTAATGCAAACTCCTATGGAGCCCAGTGCAACAGCCCAACGCGACATTCCTCCCAGGAGCCGACAGAACAGCATCAGTTCTCGTAGCTACTGTGGTCCCCCATTTCATCCTTCACTTCCAACAGGCTGCTCTCATCAATGTTCTCCAGAGAATCAGCACGTTGGAGTGCCAAGTCTGCCACTGCCATGGTGGGAAGCTTGTTCTGCTCAGGGTACAGCCAGGGCTTCATGCCCACATCATGTTGCTGTTTCCAGGACGGATATTTCACACAGGCCTTGTGCAATTTCTTCAGCATCTGACAAAAGCAAGAGAAACAACGCTTAGGAAGATCCCAAACCAATTGCTATAGGGACCTCCAACCCCCCTTTTCTTAAGGTACTTGTCACTTGAAGTTAACTCTATGTCCCAGTTTTATGCCTTAACCATCCTTGTTAGTTCCCCCAACTTTGTCACTCAGCCCCACTGTATCAGGAATGCTGAACCCCTGGATTCAAGGTCCGTTAGTTACAAGCTGGATCCTCATGACAGAGCACCATGCAAGCAAGGAGGCAGTTGGTGATGGTTTTTTTCATTTCAGGTGCAGCAGAAGTCAGCTGCTCACAAGATGCTGAACTAGCTGGGCCTGCATATTCTGACATCCAAAGGTGTTTAGAATGTGTTGTTCCTCAAGCTGCTTAGGACTGTGCCAGGAAGTTAGGAGCCCATATTCCACAAGCTGGTGAATCACTCTCAACAGCCAACCCCATGCGCACACTCTTAAGGCCAATTCTCAGTTCTCCACAACCCAAAAACTCTCACTCACCCTTGGTGCTAGGTACTGGGAAGATTTATTTACAACCCATTTCGGCAGTGACCCTAAAGCATGAAGAGATGAAGAAACAAAATTGTTAGTGAGCTGTGGCAGGAAAATGCCACACTACCACCAGGATCCAGACAAAAAATGATCTTAGAATAGGTCAGGAGCTTGGAAGCAGGGCTCTGCTGAAAGAAAACAAGGTATGCTTTCTGTCCTCTGTTACAGGGTAGTGTTTCTGCTTACCTGGCCCACAGCTTGTCCCACCCCACTGCTCAGCTACAGGTGAGGAAGAGCCAGACTTACCTTTGGGGTCCACCTGAGCCAGGTAAGTCAGGGTGCAGCTGGTTGGCCCAGTGGGATGAACCAGATATCCCGCTAAGACTGAGACTGCCCTTACCAGGTCCTTGCGTGGAGGATATTGCTACAAGGGGGAAATCAGACACTCAGACATGTTCCAGCTTCTCCCCCCCTCAGCTGCTATGCTGCAAGGCAAGGCAACTGGACTAATTAGAAACCCAAACATGGCATATGGCTTGCATAGAGTTAGCTGTAGAGCCAGGATCTGGTCACAATAAAAGTCCCAGCATGCCCAGGGACAGATATAGGCTGCTCGGTTACATATTTGCTAATACAACATAGTTCAGGTTTATGGCAGCCAGAGCCACACACTGCTCAATTACTCATGTCCCAAAAAACCTAGCTGGCTAGCAATCGACTCAGAAGGTACTCAAGTAAGCACCACCAAGAATCTCACAGAAGGAGTCATCCATACACCAGTGGACTCCCCTCCGTCCCTATCTTACCCTGTCACTCACCGGATGTTTGACAGAAAAGTTGATGATCATGTAGCAGTTATCCAGGACCTGCCAGGATCGCAGTGTCACCACATCTCTGTTCTTTAAAGGCTTTGGGCACTTCCCTGGCCAAGAAGGAAAGAGTCACTTCAACTCATCAAGCAACAGAAGCTCCTGAAAGTGCAGTCCTGAGGATGTGCCATCCCATTAAGGGGCTTCTATCTTTCCTGCTGTTGCCTTTCAGGTGAGGTTAGCAGTTGGTGTCCTGCTATCAATGCCTCCCATGTCCCATACTGGCCCCATTGGCACTAACTGGTCCCTTTGTTAGTAGCCTTAGCTGAGGGTCTCAGGATGAACTGGGCACCAGGGATCAAACTCCTTTTCGTGGTTGGACAGCCCAGGCAGTGCAAGCAAAGGTACACTGGTAGGGAGCACGATGCTAACTGTTGCTGCCCAGCACTTTATTTTGGTCATGTGGCGAATTCCACCTCGGGCCCTTCCCACTCGGTAGATTTGGCTGGATGCTCCACTCATAGCGTCAGATTTCAGTTGCCTGAGTTGGTCCTACCACCTGCAAAGCTCAGCCACTCACTCACAGGCATAGTAACCCACGTCAGCATTGATGGCGAGTTGGGCAATGTCATGCGTGTCAATGACATTCAGGTCCCACTTCCTGCGATACTCAATGTCATGCAGCACGTCATACACTGTCTCTGCTGACACATCTGAGACGTCCAGGCGGCACTGCAGGCAGAAGCACGACCACAGTCAGGATACTGGCTGGCTGCACCCGCTTCTATTCCATATCCCACCCCATCAGCACAGTTGGCCTGGACTAGATCAGTGGTTCTCGACCTTATTGAACTCCAGACAGACCGTCAAAAAAGGGGAAAGTTAAGACCTGGCTTTTTTTTTTTGGACTGTGGACAAATAACAGAGCAGTTTTACTGTTGTGCAGAACCCCGGGAAACCCCAGCAGCTCCAAACATTTTTGCCACTATCGATTCTGAATGGGAAATCTCTGGGTTTATTGCAAATGACATGCAGGCACCTAGCAGTGGGCCCAACAGCACCCTTACAGCAATCCTGCACATCCCGATTGAGCATCCCTGGCTTAGACACTGCAGAGAGGACTTCTTTGGGGCCAGCTGGGCTCCCACCTTTGAGAAACCAAGTAGCCTGGGTTCGTGGCCGGCTGTCAGCTGCTAGCACTTTGCCTCCCGCTCCCCCAAACAGCACTTTGCTAGCATCAGCCTGCCAAGGCCTTCCCTGTTTAATAGAGCAGGGTGGGGCAGGCAGTGCCAGAGAGGGAAGCACGGAGGGGACAGACGGACACTGACGCACTTGCCACACCCGAGTCCCACTCCACCCACAGCATGAACCAGGCAGCAGCGCTGACGGGCTCCCGGGCTCCTTATTCCAGGGGACCCTCCCTGGCTCCTCCTGGCACCTCCTCCACACCGCGTTTCCCCTCCCAAGGGAGCGATGGTTGCTGCGCTTCCCCCTGCCCCAGCCAAGCCGTCCGGGTCTTGCTGACCGAGAGAGCCGAGGCTCGTGCCGAGGGCGCCCGCCCCGCTCCAGGTCCGGGCTGCGCCCCAAGTCGGGGGCGGGGACCCGCAGTCACCTTGATGCAATGCACGGCGGGGCCGCCCGGCGACGGCGGCTGCACCCACACGGCGACGCCGTCACGACTGTAGCGACTCAGCCAGCCCCGCTCCGCCTCGCACTGCGCCCGGAAGCCCCGGAACGCCGCGGCGTCAGGCACCTGCACGGGCTCCATAGGCGGCGGCGCGAGTGCCGCTCAGCTCGGCACGGCACGGCACGGCACGGCTCGACTCGGCCCGGCGCGCCACTCCCGGACGCGCTGTGCTGAGCTGAGTGGACGCTGTTCCACCCCACCCCGCGGCAGGTGCACAGCTGGCCCGTCCCTCATTGGCTCCGCCACGTTCCACGAGGTGCCAATCAACACGCGGTTGCGGCCAGGTGAACTCCGCCCCTCCCGCTGATTGGCCGCCGCGGCCCAAGCTCCTCTGTTCTGATTGGAGCCGTGCCAAACGGGACGTGGCCGCCGCAACTTGGGATTGGCGACATTTGAAAAAAAAAAAAAAAGAAAAGAATCAATGGTCGGGGCAGGCCGGGCCGCCGAGCTCGAGGCGAGGGGTCGCCTTCTGATTGGCGGAGGGAATCGGGGACGCGCGCCGCAGCTGCCCTGCTTCTCTGCTCCGGGCCCTGTGCGGAGCCGCACGGACACGGGCTCGGCTGGTCCCGCGGGTGGCTCACGGCCGGGAAAGCAGCGCGGGCCCCTCCCAGAGAGCTTTTCACCGAGAAAATAATTGCTCTGTCTGCCCAGGTTTCCCCAGCTCCCGTGGGGCTGGAAGGGAGCTCCCGAGGCCGCGTCCCAGGATCATCCGTGCCCGACCCGTTGCTTTCACCCGCCACCTGAACCCGACCCGTCCAGACGGCCCCAGCTGCACCGTCACGAGCCAGCTGGCCCCCCCGGGGGCGCGGTGACCGCCTCGCACCCGCAATCTCCGTGAGAGCTTGGCCACCTTTCACACAAGCAGGACATTGGCCACCCGGGTTCCCCCGCAGCACCTTGGGGCGCTATGTCTGCGGTGTCAGGGTTGTACCTACGTGTCAGTGACGGCTTTGTACAGGGGGGCGTGGATGGGGATGATCCTCCAAACCCCACTGTACAAAGCCGCTATCAACCATCAGTCCTGACACACCAGAGCAGCAGGGGAACCAGGGTGCCCAACAATTTGCTTCTGCGAAAGGGGGGAGGGGGGGCTGGACTAGGTGGTGTCTGGTGGTCTCCAGTCTTGCGCCTCTAAGGATCCATGATTTAAAGCAAGAAGCGCTCGGCTGCCTCAAGGCTGGTAGCACCAGTAGCACCACATCTGTCTAGAGCAGCGGCGCTCAACCTTTTTGGTTGGTCCATCTGCAGGTTGGATGCAGCCAGTGGACCCGATGTGCTGGTGGGGCAGGCACGATGGGGCCTGATCCAGTCATATGGAAGGGGACACTGAGGAGAGGGCAGCCTGGACCTGATCCAGCTACATGTGGGGAAAGGTGTGTGGCCCAGCCCTGTCCCAGCCATACAGGGCTTGGGAATTTGGCAGCGTGGGAGAATTGAGGTATTTATTGCCACAGCTCCCCTGTCTCCAAATATCTTCACCCAGGGGGAGCCCCATGAGGCAGATGCCATGGCTCCATGGACCATATTTGTACAGACCCGTCTCAGAGCACGATCAGGCAGATTTTTACATAAATCATAACTGAAAAGCCCTGCCTTTGTGCTCATCATTATGCTGTAATGATACATGACTCGAGCTGGCAACGCTGTTGACAAAAACATAAAATCACCACTGAGGTCAGACCATAGCTCCATCCTGCCCAGTCTCCTGTGTCACACAGGGGCAGTGTGTGGAAGCTGAGGGAGAGGGAACTGGATCTGACCAGGGGTTTCCCCCTCCCCCCAGCACTGAAGGTCTCTAGGAAGCTCTAATTCAGAGGCTGTGTCCCCAACTCCCATGCTCAATAGCTACTGATGCCCCTTTCCTCCAGGAATTTGTCCAATCCCTTTTTGAATCTGGTTAAACTGTCAACTTCCACAACACCTGGCGGCAATAAATTCTACACCTGAATGACACACTGGGTGAAAAAGAACTTGCTTTTGCAAGACCCAGTATTTGGTTCATCAGGGCAATACACAGCTCCGTTGCTCTTGCTCCCATAGATGCCTCCCCCAGCATTTGAGTCACGCAGGAATGTGTTGTCCAATATTCTCCATTACTCACTCAGCTCATGTCTTGCAAAAATAGAGGAAAGGGGCTTCTTAGAACAGGCTTAGCCTGTTCAACTAACCTTCTGCCCCCACCCTGCCTCTGCAGCAGCTGCTTTTCTCAGCCACATGAAAATACAAATGAAATCAACCTACAATTAACAGCCATCTTGCAGCAAGCCACCCCCCCGACCCCAACAAATTCACCCTTCTTCAGGAGTTGGACTTGTATGAAGTAAGCTGTAGGAATCTGCCCATCACTTCATGGGCAGTAATGAGCACTTTCAGAGTTACTGCTCTTCACTGACAAATTCCCAATGTGGGAAGAGAAGGGGTGGTGGCAGTGGTTAGTGAAGCTACTTCACAGCAGGTCTCATACTGAGAGCAGCAACCTGCAAACAGCACTTCTGTCCCTCCTTGTACTGTCCCTTTCCATTTAGACACAAGTTCCCTTCTAAAGTAGGAAATACTGGTCAGAGTAAGGCAAAATAGGAGCTATGAGGTTGTCCTACTCCCAACTCTACTTCTGATCTACCATGTGTTTAAGTGGATGTCAATTCTCCTTCAAAACTATGACTTCCTCATCCATAGAGAACACAATACTTTCTGCTCACAAGTGGGATAAAAAAAATACACAATTTTTCTAAACTCATTGCAAATATAGGCAACCCCCACTTAACAGTTTTGGTTAGCACTATTTTGCTATATCACCCATTCAAAATTCATACCCGATTCCACTGAGCACTCAGTTTCGCTATAACACTCAGGAGGCGGGAGGGAGAAGTGGTAGCAAGAAGCAGTGAGTGGCAGCGTGAGTGTGAAGCCTGCACTGGTGCCCAGGGTCAGGGCCAGCAGGGGCCCAGGGTGGGGTGGCAGGAGTGCAGGGCCCAGGCTGGCACATCAGGGAGAAGGGGATAAGTGGCAGCAAGAGCTCAGGGCCAGTGCCTGGGGCCAGGACTGGTGGGGGCCTGGGGAGGACAGCAGGAGTGCAGGCCTGGGCTAGCATGTGGGGCTGAAGCAGCAGGTGGGGGAGTGGGGATGGCAGTAACCAATTATCTCTATTTACATTCATTCCTATGAGGAAATGGGTTTAAAAGCACTAAGCGGGCATTGCCTGTACTAGGTGTTCTCAGATCCAGGTTGTCTTGGGTATCTCATATGAAACTAAAAGCTGCTCCATTTCCTTCTTTGTATAAGCACTGATTTCATTAAGGCATGATCAGATTTTTTTGAATAGGCTTAACTGAATACATTACTGGACATGACAAGTCCAAAAATAAAAGGGGCTTCTCCCTGGTGTCTAGGTGGAAGGGACAAAAAATGTTTCTTTCTTCCACAAATAAACTTGCTGTGGCCCCTGATGGTAGCAAGTAAGCTGGAAACAAGGGAAACAGGTACAGCAAACCCCTCATCCTGTAAAGAAGCACAGAGATGATGTTGGTGAAATAATTTTATTTAGTGTGATACACGGCTGTGGTCAGACGGTAGATTTTCATAATAGTCACACTTACTTGGCTAACAGCTAGGAGACAGCAGGGCCAGAGACACACACTCAATATTATACACATCCATAGAGAAGACAGTGGAAGGTGAACTATTTAATTTCACTAGATTTCCCTCCCCTTACTTATTCTCCTGCTTCCCCCCCCCCCCCCC